AAACACACACAGATGAATTTAATATTTAAATTTTCAGTTCAGTAAACTTTTTAAACCTTAACTATCAATAACACTTTTCATAATTTTTTGGATTTTAATACCTTACTTGTGGAATAAAAAAAAATGTTTGACTTGTAAAAAAAAAAAATTAGTCTTTTTTCCACGTCAAGTGCATACTGACACAGAGCTTGTTCTTGCATATCATAAAAAACTTTTGTAACTCTAATTAGTAAATAAGTGTATAAATATAAGTTTTTACAAATAATACCAACCAATATTGGCATCATTTATTCAAATTCATTGGTTTACTGACTTACCTACACTTTTGACACTTTGATTCTTCAATTTTCTTTGAAGCGTCTTTCTGAGTATATCAAAATCAACAGCAGAACTTTTTTACCTTTGTGCACTGCATCAATGGCCAACTGGAATGGACCATCGACTCACTCTTTTCCCTACTTTTTCTTTGTTAATTTTATACCATTTTTAATTCTAACCAAGTATATCAATAGTTGTACAATAAACAATTAAAGTATTGTAAAATAGAAAGTTCAGTACAAAAAGTGATACTGATGTTTGCTTGGGACTAGTCGCCGTGCTCATCCTGCCCTTTCAGTTGGTGACTGACCTGCCCCTTTGACACATCTTTTTTAAAACAGTATAACTTCTGTTTTAAACGTGGTACAATAATAATTTGACTGTTGTTTGAAAGCCCCTTAATAGCTCTTTAAATCATACCTAAGTTTACAATTCCTGAATTATTATTAACTATCTAAACAAAGCTTAAAAGTTTTTGACGGTACGTATGTTTCGAAGCCAAGTTTTAAAAAAAATTTTATAATTCGATAATAAAGTTTATGGATCTAAAAGTTTGGGACAATTAAAGGAAAATTATTCAAGAGTAAGAAAAAAAATACTCCATGGCTTAAAAATAATGTCTCTTTTAAAAAATGTGACTGACACATTTATCTATCACACTTATTTTGCCCCTCTTTTCTGTAAGTACAAATAGTAAAAGCAGTTGAAAGAGGTTCAGGAGTAGTAATGAAATGCAGAGATTATACTAATGTTTAGTTTTCTAGATAGTATAGAAAACGTAGGGCTTATATCGATTTTTCCACTGTATGTCTTAGATTATTTTTCAAGTAGTTGTGTAAATAAAATTTATGTGATTAACATAGGGACTTATCAGACGTAACTTCAGTTTTTACATTTATGTGGACGCAAATTGTGAAAAAATGCAGGAATATTAAAATAAACTGACCAGTATTTTGTAATTTAGTGAGTAAAGATAAAGGTACGTCATAGTATATTTAACAATGCTGACGTAAAAAAAACGTAAGTCAACAAATAAGTTTGTTAGGTACTAGAGGAAGGGGGGGATGCGGTAAAGGGAGCTAAGCTGCCTGGGTAGAAGGGATTTTTCTCTTTTTCACCTCTTTAAGTAATATCCCTAAGCCTTCTTGAGGCAGAAGTTTCAGAGAATGAATATGAAGAAGACCTCTCTAAGCATAAGGTCATAAAAATATCAAATTTCCTTACTCAGATAGAACATAACGAGAAATAGTTATGAAAAATGTTGAAAAGTTATTTTAGTTTTAAATTAATCCTAAAAAAAAATAAAATAAAAGTGCCATAGATATATATATCTCTCTCTGCTTGAAAATCTATTTAAAATACTTACTAAAATACTTTAAGTAATTTATAACCTGAAAGTTCACATACACTCACAAATTGAAAAAGGCAAGTTAGTTCTTAATTTTTTAGTAATAAAGCATTATATGAGAATTGAATTAGGCGACTTTATACAAAAAACACATAATAAGTTTTGTAAATGTATTTTAATGCAAGCTCTTCATAGCACTTGTACTTACAAGGATAATAATTATAAGTTGATAAAGGAAACTGTAAAATTTTATAATAAATTTAGACCATATTCAATTTTTCTTTAACACAATAAAGACTTTCCAGATCATACAGAAGTATTTTTTTGAAGTAGTTGAACGCTAATATTCTGTGTTGTGTGAAACACTAAAAATTTATTCAATTTGCATAAATTGAAAGAAAAAAGATTTTAAAAAAGTTTTAAAAAAAATTTCAACTTTGAACTGGGATAAAAGATAGCATTAAAAAATTTTTTTTTTTAAATCATGATCTTACATAAGGTATTGAAGTATAACTCCCTTTTAATATTAATTGACCGTTCTTTTCCAAAAATAAGTTTTTTTAAGAATAAATCAACAGCTTATAACAGAATATGAATGTAAGCAAAGCCCAAAAAACTTTAATGACTTTAACATAACTAAGTAGTATTAAGAAATTATTTGTCATTAACGTAATTTAGCAATTTTTCATAGAACAAAGGAATATAACAATATTAATTTTATGCCATTATTCACAAAATGCTTATGTTAAACTTAACACCACTAGTTTAATGAAAAAAACTAGTACCACTACACTTACTACTACTTCTATCTCTGCCACTATGATTATATTAACTTGTATTACCACAACTTCTGCTACTACGACTACTAATACTAATACTTTAACTACTGCTTTTACTATTACTCCTACTACCTCTACTATTATAACTATTACAACTACTATTACTCTTGGCGAGCGATTTTAGCTAGTTTCTTCATACTGGGCACTTTCCCAGGTGGTGGATGGGAAGATCCTCTCAAAATCTGAGGTAAAACTGGGCAATTAGGGCAGCTATTTGCGGTGACGGTGGGGGGCGTGGATCAGAAGGCGTGCATGGCATTCAAGTGTTTAATTGTATCTGTCAGACTGTGAGCCTCCTGCCTTCTGCGTTTATTAGTGTGAATGCGTGGGCCAGTGCTGCTTATACTCTTTGCTTCCTGCTGCCACCGTGGGTGATGTGTGGGAATTGTATGCCTGCCGCTCGTCTCGCTGGAATGACTGTAGTGTACCTACACATACGTACACTATACACAATCATGACTTCCACACTCTCTCGGTTAAAGCCCGGGTAATTGTTTCAAGCCCCATGGATTCTGGATGGGACCACAAAAAAGCTACTCCTGGCCAGCAAGGACTGTTGGATGTCCCATGGATATTTTTAGGTAAAGAACGACAAACAAGTGTCTCGAGTATTAGTAGTGACGTGAGTAAAAAGAGGAACGTTACTGTTTTTAGCAATCAAACGCAAGAGGAGCTCAAGTCTATGAAAAAAAATACTAAAAAGCTGAAAACAAAGCGAAATAGAAAGATTGATTTAGTTCAGGTTCTAGCTCGAATGAATTCCTTAAATCCCTGCAGTATAGAGAAAAAAAGTAATAATTATCGTCAGCATGTGCAAAAAAAAACTTTGAACACTGTTCTGAAGGAAATAGAACGAGTTAGAAAAAATAGGAGCCCATAAGACAGCCCCGACGCACGCCAGAAACCGATGTCCTCCAAGAAAAAGAGAACAGGCAGAGGCCAACAAGCATAGGTTCTCCAGAGCAACAAAAAAGGCCAGAAAAATGGAGAACTCGTAATGAAAAAAGTATTAGAAAAGTTGGCTGAAGGGCAGATCTTTGCTAATCTGCTCAACTCAATGAAGGCAAATTTTGATCCAGACAAGGCTGATGTTGCAGTCCAAAGTGTTGTCACACCAAAAAAGGAGACATACTTATAAAAGCCTAAGGTATTAAAAATTAGATTGCATTCTTGCAGCAAGTTAAAAAGTTGGTAGGCACACAATGAATGGTGGTACCAGACAACAAAAAGGTAATACTAGAGGTTCGAAACCTGAATGCTGTTGTTGAGGAAAAGAATATTAAGGGGGCTTTTTTTAAAGAATTTTGGATAATATAATAAGAAGTTTGAAGTAACGCTTTTAAAACCTAATACTAAAGGTCAGCCATTGGCGCTCATTACAGAAGATGCGTACACTTCAAAAAAAGCAGAAAATGTAGGCAGATGAAGAGTTGGCTTCGTGAGCTCACAAATTTAAAGAAAAAAATTGCAGTAACAAGATGTCTCAGGCAACTGTAGTAAAAAAAAATAGTGTAAGCTTTGCTGCAAGTGTAAAAACTCTAACCATTGAAAAAAGAGTGTCCCCTCCCAGCACGGTGATTTCTATATCCAACAACGGATAACAAGCATAAAGCTGACAATGGAAGCTGCTTCATATTCAGGAGAGTGCTAGAAGAGGCCAGAAAAAAGACCCAAGCAGGACGCAGATAGAGTGAAAAGGCCTTAAGTAGAAAAATAGGCTAATGTTGATTCACGCTGAATTGACTTTTTTTTCTTATTAGAAAGCGAAAGCATCAAGCTTCTAGTAGAGCTTTCGAACTTAGCAGCCTACTATGGAGCACTAGACGGGCTGCTGATCCTCAGAGACCTCAAGTCTTTTTCAGAATCCTAAAG